ATCATTTAAAAAAAGTGTTGCTTACCCTTTGAACCAAGCTGATGTGTACACTTTTGTATTAAAGATTCCGTTACAAATTCATAAGCAGTTTGTTGTGTTTTTGAACATTACAGTAGCTATTTAGGTTAACAAATAATTGACTCTACATAAGTCATGATTACAAATAAAGTATACATTAGAATTAAGTAATTGTCAGACAGTTCCATGTGTAGAAGGTAATGTTTTTTATTCAGTCCACTTTTATGATGGACCAGACCAAGGTTTTTTAACACACATCATCCATAAAAAATAGCATTATCCCCCAAGTGCTCAAAATTAAAACAAGTAACTGAAATAAAAAGATAAGACAATGAAAACACACACTATACCAAACGGTCATTATGAAGATGTAATTGAATCCTTTCGAATGATGTTCAAAGTAGCTTTTTGCCAATAAGTTGAACATTAAAATCAAGTTGTTGCCACTTAAAGCGTTTATTTGAAATATGCCTGGCAATAAAGTACTAAAACACCATGTGGTGCTTGAGTTTATTGCTAGAGTGAGTGGGGATTGGATCGTAACGCAGTTGCCGGTATAAAGTTAAAATGGCGATACAAATAAAAGACAAACAATTTCAGTAGGTGTATCGCCTAGAGTCCTCTGCAAACTAATGCTCAGGTAAACACTTCTCAACACACAGGCCTGCCTCAATTTTGTTGCTGAGTGACAAACAGATCAACCTTTTACTTCCTGTTACCTGATGATTGTGGCCAATCAGGGAAGACCTCTGGAATTAGTGACACAGGTGACATCAATCAGTCCTCGTTTGGTTATCATTTGAAGTCGATTATGCTTGGCCTCTCAAAAATACATCCATACTGTTAGTAAAGTTTATTAAAAAAAAGAACATTCCCTTATTTTGGAATGGTTAACATTTTAGCAGAATAAATACCTATAAAATATTTTTTTAAGGGAAAGTGTGGTCTTTCTTTTTAAATATTCCTACCAATGTTGATTCAAGGAGAGTCCATTAATTGAGTGGAGAAAATATGCTCCATCAAAGACCGTAAAATATTCAATATTCAAATGCTTTATTGTCCTATTTACTCAGCTTCAGAGTAGTTTGGCAATATAAAGCTTAAGTCCCATTCTCCTCCGACAGTCCAACATACCATTTACTTAAGACACCAAAAGCATTAGTGCAATAAATAGTGCAAGTGGCACAATGGTGTAAGTGAAATGCAGCGACAAAAACATTAAGTAACATTAAATAAGATGTAAAAATAAATACTTTACAGTTGAATAAATGCTAAAATATAAATATGTGGACTATAAACAGAAGTATGTTCTACAAGCAAAACAAAAGTATATATATTCTTATAACTAATACTAAATACAGTCCCACATTTAAAGTTACATTGTGATAGTGGCTCATAAATAAAAATAGAAGATTACCTGATGTGAATTCACAGATGTGCGGGGACACTTTCTCCTGCCTCTGTACAGTACATGCACTTCTGAACACTCTGATCCCAGTGCTCATCATATCATCAGCATTGATATCACCAACGCTTTTTACGATATGATTTCCACGTATGTCAACTTGCAGACCGGTCCCATGATTATCTCTATATTGGACATTAGGGTGCACGCTGCTTGCTGTGTAAAATAAGACATTCAGTGACATAATAATGTTAACACATGTTTGAACAGGATTTCTCAACATTTCCTGTATGACCCCATGTTTAAGCTACAACCAGCTTTTGAGTGGTTATGTGAATTTAAGCATTGTAAACATTTATATTTTCCAGAGCATTGAAGCAGATCATATACATACCATATTTCAGACAGCTAAAATCTTAACTAATGATATTAACTTTTAATGCTATTTTTTTAAGTATTACAATCTAATAATGAAAACTGTATACTACTTAAAAGTAGAAGTACCCAATGCAAAGAAATGGCCCCTGTGAATAATCATCATTACTAATAAATGCATGTCTATAAGGGATTTTATATTTGATTTGGCATTGGTTGAGGCTGGGCTCATTTTAACAATGTATTTCCACTCATTTTGCACAAAGAACTGCAACCAATGATAACCTGAATTAAGGCTTAGTGTGTAGATTTCAATGTTTATCAAATGTACAATAGTGAGACATTATATCATAATTAGCTACAGACCAAAGTTACAATGCATATGATGCTTAAAGACCTACTATGGTTGCAGAAAAAATTGTTGGTTTTGCATACAGAAGAATTATCAAAATAGTTTTTCAATAAATGTATTGTCAATCGGTTAATCTGCTTATTGTTTCAGCTGTTCATTTTAATAGGGTTTATACAGTGGCATGAGAGGAGAATGCTAAAGTAATGACACCCCTTCCCTTACATGCCCTTTTTATATTGTGATGTACCAGTCACATGCCTACAATGATCATCCAAAGGTAAGACGAAAATACCTTTTGTAAAACACCAGCTCCAGGAGAAGCTGTTGATTAATTTCAAGCCTTTAAAACATAACCAACGTCCTTATCTTCCAATGTCGACGTCAGCCTGCACATGGAAATCCATAAGCCATGGCTGAGGAACTCTAGTTACACGACAAATCACCAAACAAACCAAACATGGCTCAAGGGTTCAATAAGCGTGAGAAACTTTTACATGCCTTAAACATGCCTGTTGGAAATCCTAGAGTCCCCATACATTGGATGGCCCCTGCCAGATTTAGGAGGGAGACAGGCCCCTATTTAACATATTACGAAGAAGGCCCAATGCAGAGTAAAGTGTTTACGCTGTGACCTTCTGCTGACTGCACAAGGAGAATTACCCTCCCATGTTTCTGTTTCTCGTGGCGGCCGGCCTCTCTGTCGGTGGAGTACGGACTCGACATAAGCTGTTCCTCTCACGGTTGTGAAATAGATGTATCTTGAAGTTGATATTAAGGGGGGTTTTGTGGCTTGTTTTACTGTCAGTCACCTCAATGGACCTACAAAGGCCCTGGACCAGTTCAGGAATTATGAATCTGGGTGTGATGCCCGAATAGCTCTCCCAATTTTCGAACTACACTGGACTACGGTTTGCTACTGTGGGAAAGGGAGGCCTCCGGCCCCCACACTGGGGGATGATCTGGACAGGTCCATATTCACTTTGCTTTTGAAGTCAGACAACAACTTAAAAAAAAACGAGTTGGTTCAGTCTGTTTCAACTTCAATCTCGTATGATTTTTAGGTGGCTGTAAAGGGGCCATGACAAGTGTTACACTGATGCTATGCAACACTCTGAAGTGCTGGCCCATCTTTGACAATCCCTACACCGAATTAGTACTGAGCACAGCTGTGACAACAGAGTCCTCCTGCGGCAGTGAGTACACCCAAACGAGTGGAAATTATTCCTCAACGATCTTTTTAAAATTCCTACATTTAACTATTAAACCTGCCCAGAAAATATGGACTCCCCCACCCCAATGTACACTATACCTCATGTCTTGGGTAATTCTAGACAGGGGGTGAATATTGTTAAATGTCAAGAGAATACCATTGTTTTTAATTCAATACTTTTTTAATTTTAGTTGGCTTGGATATTTGTTTTATTGTCCCATAGGCTGACAACCAAACGAATGTGAGTGGTCATCTGTGATGCGACAGGAAGGCCGCAGAGTGGTTTTTGGGCAGAACCCCCTGGCACCGGAAGAACCGAGCACCTGCCCTAGCNCTCTGATCCCAGTGCTCATCATATCATCAGCATTGATATCACCAACGCTTTTTACGATATGATTTCCACGTATGTCAACTTGCAGACCGGTCCCATGATTATCTCTATATTGGACATTAGGGTGCACGCTGCTTGCTGTGTAAAATAAGACATTCAGTGACATAATAATGTTAACACATGTTTGAACAGGATTTCTCAACATTTCCTGTATGACCCCATGTTTAAGCTACAACCAGCTTTTGAGTGGTTATGTGAATTTAAGCATTGTAAACATTTATATTTTCCAGAGCATTAAAGCAGATCATATAGTGTACATACCAAATTTCAGACAGCTAAAACCTTAAAGGTGGGGTAGGTAATTTTGGAGAAACCAGCCCGAGTGCGCTAGAATTTGAAAATACACAGCTGGAAAAAATCTGCCACTTCCTTACAGAGCCCCTCCTCCAACACACGAACGTGCACATGACCAATGAGGGCACGAGATAAGTTTGTGCACAGATGGAAGGCTGACAGGCAGGTAGGCCATCCAGTTATTTTAGCCGGGCCGGCTCAAATGACTGGTCCTACTTTTTACAGTACTACGGATTCCACAGATGACATTTTTTAATGGATTTTTTGTCAAAGCACTTAAGATATTCATTGCTATCGAGATGTTAAGAGCATTCCATGGAATATAACAAACAGCCTCGAGCCGGTTTCTCAAACTTACCTACCTCACCTTTAACTATTAACTTTTAATGCTAGTTTTTTTAAGTATTAAAATCGAATAATAAAACTGTATTCAAATACTTAAAAGTAGAAGTACCCAATGCAAAGAAATTGCCCCTGTGAATAATCATTATTACTAATAAATGCATGTCTATAAGGGATTTTATATTTGATTTGGCATTGGTTGAGGCTGGGCTCATTTTAACAATGCATTTCCACTCATTTTGTACAAAGAACTGCAACCAATGTTAACCTGAATTAAGGCTTAGTCTGTAGATTATATCATTCATAATTAGCTACAGACTAAATACCATGCATATGTCTGCTTGCTTAAATACCTACTATGGTTGCAGAAAGAATTGTTGGTTTTGCATACAGATGAATTATCAGAATAGTTTTTCAATAAATGTATTGTCAATCGGTTAATCTGCTTATTGTTTCAGCTGTTCATTTTAATAGGTTTTATACAGTGGCATGAGAGGAGAATACTAAAGTTAATGGCAACCTCCAATCCTTACATTCCTTTATATTGTACTGTACCAGTCACATCCTACCAATGACTCATCATGTAGAGACAAAAATACCTTTTATAAAACACAGCCCTCACGAGAAGCTGTTGATATATTTCAAGCCTTTAAAACATAACTAAAACTCATATTGCCATATTTACTGTTCAGCCCTGCACATGGATCCATAAGCCCATGCTGAGGAACTCTAGTATAGACAAATCACCAACAAATCAAACATGGCTCAGGGTTCAATAAGCGTGAGAATTTTACATACCTTAACATATGCTGTTGGAATCCTAGAGTCCATACAGTACATTGCAGGGCCCCTGCAGATTAGGGGAGGAGACAGGCCCTATTTACTATATATACGAAGAAGGCCCAATGCAAGAGTAAGTGTTACGCTGTGACCTTCCTGCTGACTGACAGGATGAATACCCTCCATGTTCTGTTTCTCGTGGCGGCCGGCCTCTCTGTCGGTGAGTACGACTCGACATAAGCTGTTCATCTCACGGTTGTGAATAGATGTCTCTTGAAGTTGAGTATTAAGGGGTTGGCTTGTTTTACTTCAGTCACCTCAATGGACTACAAGGCCTTGAACCAGTTCAGGAAATATGAGCTGTGTGTGGATGCCCATAGCTCGTCCAATTTCGACTACACGTTTACGTTATTCTGGTTGCTTATCTTGAAATGAGCGCGCGGCAACCTGTTGATGAGTTCTGGACGAGGGGCAGTATTCACTTTGTGTTTGAGTCAGACAACACTTAAAAAAAAACGAGTTGGGTGCAGTCTGTTGTCAACTTCATCTCG